GGGGAGAGTGAGCCCAGGTGCACCATGTGCCGGAGCCATCTTCCCACTGAAACTGGCCAGGCGGCTGTGACTGAAATTTAATTTGCCTGGTGCGTTCAGTGGACATTTTAATCGCATTTCCTACAATCTACTTGGCAAAGAGGCTCAACTGGCAGCTGCCTGACTGAATGGGCTTTGCACCCAGTCTAACCTTCTCCATTCGCAATTTCCAGTGCTGGAAAACCTCTCCGTCTCACTCTCAGAAGTTTCTATAGCAATCACGGCCATCCTAGCGAAGCACTGAAAATGGCAGCCCATTCAGATTGTAATTTTGCTGGACAGTAATTGCTTCTCTCTCTGTTGGCCTCTGAAATGTTACTTTTTGGGAGATACCAACGGCAACTGGAGGAAACTGGTCCTCTGCCTATGTTTTCAACAAACTTCACTCTCCCCCAGCCCTGTTTGAGTGTTCCTGAATCTTGAGTAACAGGGAAGTGTAGTTGGATGCATCATACCTTAGGTACAGGAAAGACCTGATGTGAGTGATGCTCTTAACAAGCCTGTAGGAAAAAACGCTCACCGCCCAACACGTCATGTTGTGACCTGAACACTGTCCATCACTGTAGGTAGAAAAAGTTACACGAGGGTGTTTGGCTTTGCTAATTGTAAAAGACTGGGGAATAAAAAGAAAGCTTTTTTCTTCATGTCAGTGAGCTTACTTTTCCTGGTTCAGTTAACTTCAGCTTAAACAATCACTTGATCTTTTGTTCCATGCTTCATCTTTCAGTGGCTGCGATCACTCTTAATTACTGTGACACTGAAGAATTGCGTGCTAAAAATGTATTAAGTAACAGAACGAAAGGTTTTGCTTCTTGCAGGAAGAGGATGTGGTAGAATTATACCCCAGCTTGTGAAGGAATTGATCAACCATTTCTCAAACTCTTCTAATAATCTTTCCCTATACTTTTATGGCTATTGTTGCCTGATGGAAAAATTAGCTTAAAGCTGAGTAAGGGGAATTGTGGATAAGTGTTCGCAATTTGGCTTTGGACTGACACAGTGTGATTGCACTCAAAGAATTTGAAGTCTTTGCACTGGCAGCAGTACTTGAATCCGGGAATATAGGATTCGCATTGGAAAAGAGTGGATTTTTTATAAAGATTTAAATGCACAATTTCAGCTAGAGAGTGGATTAACAGAGCCAACTAAACCCTTCACCCTGACAAAGAACTGGCGGGAGGACTATAGAAACTCATCCAAAATTTTACCAACATGAATGCAGAGTAATAGGTCAGTGAGAAGCATTTCTGTATTTTAATGGCGCTCTTAGAATTCAATTCAATTTAAAACAAAAGTTGTTTTACAAATATGTGGAGAATGCAGAAGGCTGGAGAGGGAGCAAGTGGCCTGCATCCTCCATCTGCTCCATCCTCCCTCTACTCTCATGCAAGGGACTGCAACTACAAATCCTCCTTCTCGGTGGACAGAAAGACCAGCGTAGGCATTGCCCCAACCCAAGGGTCAGGAACATCTCCCATTCTGCAAGAGCATGAATGTACACCCAGACCCCACACCCCTTATTTTGTATATGCCATTGCTCTTGAGGCCCAAAGCCAAGCAGCAGGAAACTCCAAGCCCAGGGGTTTTGGGGAAGCTGAGACACACAAACCTGTGTTCCTACATCAGAAATGAGGTTGCAGAACAACAGAAAAAGTTTAAGTATCCCAAGATGAGCGGTGCTCTTCTCTGACAAGAGATGGACACATTTGAGATTGCTCATCTCTGAAAAGGATCAGGGAGATACGAGAGAAACATTAATTGGACAAACAAAAACACAAAGGCAGATTGGCTGCATCTGTTCTAGAAGTATTTTGGAAGAGGCAGCAAAGCATGCAAAGGGACTTTTTTTGGAGCAAAATTTCTCATTAGGCCCTGAGAACTCACTGCTGCAGGATGTTTGATGGAAAAAAAAAAAAAAAATCTTAAATCAGTCTGGAGAGGGTCTAACGTTTACATGAGTAACAAGGCATGCAACATTGGCAAGGATACAGCCTCCTGCTTCACAAACCTATGTGAATCTGTAATGGGATGCTCCTCTTAAAACATTGGGTACTGCACTGCTGCAGGCAGGATATTGGAGCAAGTTGGTCAGAGCTTGATGTTCAATATGACAATCCCTCTCTTCAAGAAGTGGGGAGATTGAATGTTTCCAGTAGAAGGCATAGAAATAACTCCAAAATTTAACCCTTCCTAAAAATTTTTACACCACTGGTTTCTCAGGCCCAAACTGTAAATCACTGTTGGCCATCTGTTAGCAAGAATGGCCATGAGCATCCGTGGAGAAGTGCCATGCTTGCAGACTTGCTCTCCCCTTCACACTAATAGGTGCTGCACAGGGCACTGGCCCTGGGCTGCTGCAGTGGCCCTCAGAACCTCCCAACTCATCAGTGTGGGGACTTCTCTGCCTAAATGTTAACTAACTACTTCCCAGGGGGAATTTTCCAAGCTGTGTAAAACCTGTAACAACTAACCACAGAACTAAATGGCTAACAGCAAAAACAGATCTTGAACAATAAGAATCCTGAATTAACAGGGGGAAAAAAAACAAACAAACAAACAAACAAACTACTTTAATTGTGGTTTGTACTCAGCTGGAGAGCCTCACCTTCAAGTTGCTGGAAAAAAGAGTGAGAGAGGTTCGGAAAAAAAAAAAAAAGAGGTTCCAAAATCAAAATTAGGACAGCCTACAGCAGTAACCAAGGAGGGCAAGTCTAAACTGCCTCTGGAGGAGGACCTTTCTGACAAGCCCTGGATACACCTACCAAAAGCTGAGCCAGGTGTAGGGGAACAGCCTGCAGAGCTACAGCTCATCCCTGGAGACAGAGATAAAACCAAAAAAACTCACTAAGTAATTAACACAAGGCCTGTTTGGAACATATACCTTAAAAAAGTATGAATAAAGTGAAATGTTTATAAAATGTGGATTTTAATTTTTCTTTATTACAACATAAATTATTCTCAACAGAAGGATTTAACAGTGTTCAGTTTGTTATATATTAGACTCAGAAGGACATGTTTTTTTAAAAATTCTCAGTATACAAGGAAAATCCCAACAGAATTTACAGAGCCACTGTAGTTCACAAGTACAGGAGCTAAGGTTGTAATGAATCATACAGGAAATCTGTCATTTCATTACAGGTAGAAGAAAAACGACATGAATTGGTTAGGGTTTTAATCACAAACTTCAGAATTATTTTCTTTAAAATAGATGCATTATTAAAAAAATCATCACTACAGAGGCACGTGGTGTTTAGTTGATGGCATTTATTCTGTAACCCAAACAAGGAAACTAATCCACTCTGAGTAGCTGAAGTATTTTTTGCACTATTTACATACTTTACTGAAGTATTTTCATCCCAGAGCCTCAGCAAGCATCCTAGAATATTAATGCATGAAGCCTGGCAGCACTCCAGTGTTAGCAAACAAGAAAGTAACATCATTCTCATTTTATCAACAGGGAAACTGAGGCACTGGGATTATAGAGATCCAGGCAACTGCAGAAAGAAAACTCCCTGGACTTTGATACTCTTAGAGACAGGTCTTGATGGAGTCTTCCTTGTTAGATGGCTGTTGACTGTGCTAAGCACTGTCTGAAACCTAGTCAGTTTTTTTCATGTTTAAACTGCTGCAAAATAGGTGACATCTATCCAGCTATAGTGTCATTATGATCACCTTTACTCAAAAAAAGCCATTAATGGTTTTCCTTTTTAGATCAAAAAGCGACAACAGCAAGAAGTGCATCTTCAATCTCTCCAAAGACCTTTGGAAGGCTGTCTCATTATACCCAAAATACTGCAATTGTTCCCTCAATCTGTGCAAAGGTAAGTACTGAAAACCAGTAACTTTGAAAGACAGAATTGCATTATTTATTAAAAAAAAAAGATAAGAGCTACTGCACAAGAATGTGAAATGAAAATACAACTTTAAAGATAAAATGTCTATATGGTTCACAGAAGCTGTAATTTAAATTTTTGGGCATTGGGATCATTCCTTTGTCAATCAAGTATTTGAAACAAGTTAGCTGAGAAATTCTCAGCAAAGATGTAGCCTTTATAAACCAACATGAAACATTTCACATTGTCTATAATCACAAGGATTTTATTTCCTGTGACAGCAAAATACCATACCACATCAATAAGGTTACTTGAAAAGACCTTTAAAAATATCTTGGCAATAACATTTGCAGAGTGACTAAAAAAGGGAAATAAAAACTGGTTGCAGATCTGAGATGACATGAACTTGCAAGTTAAGAAAACCCTACAAAGCCAATACTTGAACTCGGGATAGAAACATCCAGCATAAATCCAGCAATTTTAAGGCCATTAAGGAGTGTGCATAATTAATTCACAGGCATCTCACTGTTTACATTTTGGCAAATACAGCATCTTAAAGTGGGAATAAAAACACAGACTGCTGCTGTCTCACAGCATTGAGGAGCAGGCCAGGCAGCAGGGGACAGGACTGCTGGGACAGGACATACCCAGTGTTGTCAGTCATGCCCCAGTGACAGATTCTAGCCAGCACCAGTTGCCCGAGTTCAGAAGAAGCCCCCTCAAATTCACTATTGGAAAGAGACTTTATGCATGCTACAACATCATTAGCAGCATCGTAAAATAAGCATATAGGACCTCACTTTCTTCAGGGAAGTAGACAGACATAAATATGCTTCTTCTGTGGTTTCTGCGGAGAGATCTCTGTCCTGGCTTCTGGGCTGGCTGAGAAACTGGTCCCATCAATATCTCCTTGTGGTCCTGACCTGAAAATAGCAATCCACACTCTGCAGTACAACCACAAATACTTCACAGTGATTTAAGCAGCTTTTCTTGTTTTCACCTCAAAACACTGCTGGAATATTCCCTATTTCTTCTCCTTGATTACTGCTGCTGTCTACCAATGACTCTCAACAGACAGCTTCCTTGCTGGTCAAGGAAAGACTGAACTATGGTTTTACTTAGCAATATGCCCTGGAAGCAGCACTGGCTCTGGAAGCTTTTGGGAACTTCCCTCCTGTGGTTTGACAAATTTCAACGATACATCAGTCCCACTGCATTTAGGAGCATTCAAAAACCTGGGTTATCTAAGTTTAGCGTGGGTGCTCCGACTGCAGAAAAGCCTCAAATACCAATAGGCAAAGCTGCACCAATTTGAACATGAACAGATCTGCCCAGGGGGCTCCAGGGCCCCCCTGGTTAAAGGAGGTTGGTCACCACCCACACAGACTGTGGAGAAACACTTCACCTCCCTGGCCGAAGACAGTCTCCACGGGAATGCAGAACTTGCCAGGACCTCCTCTCTCACATATCCCAAACATCTCACCTGTGTTCTGCAAGGTTATGCACTTCCCCTGTACCACATGACAGAGGACATGGCAGGCTAAACATATAAACAGCTTTTAAAGGAATGCAAGTAAATATCTAGATGCAAGGTGTTTTAGGATACACCTACAGCCACCTCCCATTTTCCCACAATACATTCTGTTTCAGACAAGGCCGGAGGCATCTGAATGCTACTAGTAAAAAAGGCAAGACAAGCTTCAGGAGAGTTACCAGTGAAGGCCCAGGCTGATGAATACAGACTGCCACATATAGATATAGAAACACACACACTTAAATTATATATATTAGTTTTATCCATATTTTTATATATATGTATAAATTAATTATACATATATGTGTGTATATACAGACACATATGCATGAATCTCAATAGTCCCTCTGTTGAGAAACCTAATACAAATCTCTGAAAATATACATCAATTATTTGGGTGTTTTTAAGTATAAGCAGTGTATTCTGACCGGGGTTTTCATAAATATGCATTAGTCACCCTTGTGGGAATAACAATATAGTTGCGTAAGTTGTAAACTATAAATACAGGCTTTAAACATTCTTTGAACAACAGGTATAGCCAGTATGAGTAACTCCCAGGACAATCAGAAGTGATTGCAAACAGGAAACCAGACTTGAGCATATGGCTCCAAAACACACGCATTGCTGTAACACACTCAAGTGCACAGGACCTCTCCAGTGCTCCCTGCCCCCCAAAGGTCCTTTTTAAAAGCTTTCTGTAATTGTGATGGGAGCAACAATTGAAACAATTTAATGAGGCTTAACAAAGACAGAGAAGAATATTTTTGGTAACAGGTACATTACAAGAAAAAGGTCATGTTGCAAAACCCAAGAAAACCCCTCAAATTTGGGGACAGTGTGTTATATATACCCTCCCTAAGAAATTAGGGCAATCTTTTCAGTTCCCCTACATTTCTGGTGGCATCAGTCCACCAGTTTTTCCCTATTCAGGGTTTCTAAATGGGCTCTTAAAATGACTTTTTATAAAAATCCTCTATAAGCCAATATGCACAATACCGTATTTTGTTTCAGTTAGATTAAAACCAGGAATGACACAACTGCATTTTTTAACTAAAAGAAAGTTTCTAACTACAAACACAAGGATGGGTGATGTGTTTTGAGGTATCAGTTAATACCCCATCTTTTCCATAAAATACATTCCTATTGTAACATGATGAATTGCCTCAGTAGTACCCATGTACTACTACTCGCCCCAGATCATGGCCGGTGTGCTAGCAGCAATGGAAGGTTTGATATAGATGAAACCTAAGAAAATTCAGGGTAGAGATATGTCACTGGTGTAGAGGCAGCATATCCAGGCTTGCAAGAAGTGCAAAATTTAGGAAGAGTATTAACTTGTACTTTTATGTTACAGTATACCCTGTCTTACCACAGTTTCTTTTCCCATCCACAATTTCTTAAAACTTAATCCTATGCGGTTTCAAGTACCTTCAAGCTCTTCCTCAGGGTTCTCTATGGTTCAAACTGTTAGCTTTCAGTGAACCAGACTGAGCAACAGTTTGATTATAAGAAACTCTTAGAGCCTGAGAGTCAGCAGATTTTCTATTACACACAGAAAATAAGAGAAAAAAGCCCAGAACACACTACAGAGCAGCTCCAGAATTCCAGCAGGGACCTATACAATATCAGGAGTTTCATAAAGAAAGCATTTGATTTTTCTTTTGTGCAAACTGCGTTGTACATGACAGAGGCAGTGCATGAATCACAAAGTGCTCTCTTCACATGACATTGTAAGTCTACTGTGAACCCTGCATGGCCCATTAACTTTGTCTCTAGACCAATACTCCAGAAAAATTCTAATCCCATTACACTTCCTAAACATCAAAGTTGTTTTTACAGAAAAGAAAATGAAGGCAGAATTTCACATGTCCACACACTGGTGGTACAGAAAAATAACCAAGTCCTCATCTCTTCAGCACAAAAAACAACTGATGAAAGAAAACATGGTCCAGATGATAAAGTGCAATTATTATTTCAGTTGTGCTAAAAAGCATTCCAATTCTGTAGTTTTACTTCTTGGTGATTTTATTAAACTTTTAATTATAATGGTTTTTTGCTTCTGTCCCCATCTTTCCAGTACTGTTCAGTTTGCATTTCTGTAAGCCGTGAGACAGTACGCTGAAAGGCAAAGAGTTCCTCTTCTCCTGTAAACATGGAAAGTCCTTTGGCAGAATCCTACGTGAATACACAAAAACAGCACCACAGAACTGTGAGAGACATAGCTGTACTGAAGTGCATCCTATCTAACTCCTAAGGCTGAGTACTTTACAGGCTTTGGCAATACAAGACAGCAGCATGGCACCATAAAAATAAAATTAATGTTCAAAAATTGAAAAAGAAAAACACCTATTTCAGCCAGGTAATCGTCTGAAGGAACATAGCAAAACAATAATTTGGGTTTAAAGCAACATGATGCTTTAAACATGATGTTAAGCATCTATTTTCATTTTTCTGTTGACTAAATGTGTATTGATTTAGACAAATAATTTAAAAATTCATTAATAACTAGGTTATAGGGAAAAGGAAAAACAGAATAAACAACAGGCAACATAGTATTGTTTGTGAGGATTTGTGAGAAAATCCTATACAGTCTAGGAAGAGGTAAATTAGACCATCTTTTATTTTTGTATTTTAAATGTAGGAGCTAAACTTAAATCAGTAAATCATACATGATTGAACAGATATGATGATTAACAATCAAAATGACCCTAAAACTTACACAAAATGGTTCTATATATTGTGATATTTTCTTTGACTATGAATAAATAACATGCAATTATGAAAGCAACAGATACACTGCAGAAAAAGCAGCAAATCAGTAGTTAAATGTTTACTTGATTCCTCTTCCTAAAATTCTGCTGTAATTATGAGACCAAAACCAATTCTGTTACAAAAGGGAAACGATGTTAATATCATGTACCTGGCTCAAGTCCAAATCATCCATCAACACTCTGTTGTCCTCTAGCTCACCATTGTCATGTTCTACCAGGAACAAGCTCTGGAGAGGAGTCACTGCAGAACAAATAATACGCACCTGAGAGAAGAAAACAGACAACAATATCATCACTCGGGCTTTAAAGAAAAGGGATAAAAGACATATTTTATGAAAAGCAAACTTCAAATTACAACCTTGTTTTTTTCCAGGTGTTTTCACCTTCTCTTATGAGCACTACCGTTACAGATTTACCTTAAGTCATTTAAAACATTAACCTTTCACGATCTTTTTCTCATAACAACTCACATAAATTTTACTCAGAGAACAGTATAAAGGAGCTATTACATACTCAGAATATCTGCTATACAGGCCAATAGTTCACAAACAAGTTTACTTTCTAAAATAACAGCTATAAAGTATTAGTAACCAATGCTTTCTTTTCCTCCATAGTTAGATTCCTCTCAGTAGGTAAGTGCACTTCACACATACATATTTCCATCTAAAGAATATTTAAATTCCAAATATCCCAGAAGGCTGAGCAGAGCCACTCTTGCTTTCACCTATGCTACTCAAGTGCACATTATTTGCTAATAAAAATAATGATGCTGTTTCCATGTCTGCTGGACATACAATGTGAAGTGAGATACATTATCTCCAGGGGGCTGCAATGAAGACAGACTGAAATATTATTACAGAAGGAGACACTTGTTGAGAGCATGCAGGCAGAATGTCTCCACAAATACACTCTCTCAGGTATTTTTTCCAAACAGCTACTTGTGACAGGAGTTTAACACTTATGGTTTTCCTATGGAAGAAGTAATAGAAAGCAGCAGTTTGCTTGCAATTCTTAATGACAGTACATAGATAGAGCAGACACACCCCACCTCATTCCTAACACACTATTATTCATTTATAAATATTTGCATATCCTCTCAGAACTGTCCATTTCCAAGTCATAAAGCACAAAGAATCTAGCTGACTTGAGTGAGACTACTCCTATGCTTAGTTAGTTCAGTACCTTGTTGAATCAGGGCCTTTCTGATCATCTTGCCAGGACATTTCTTGAAAAAAAAAAAATCTCAGTTGATATTTTCTCATTGCATAAATATTTAAGGGTGTGCATATATAGTCACACATAAGACAGGGTTTCATAACTGGTATTACTTTTTAAAAAATATTAAACATGAACTTCTGTTTTTGTAGCTCTGATTTTGCTTCCATGACTGAAACCTCTGTAAATCCACATGAAGTGCTGCATTTATCATTACTATTCCATTAGCAGTTCTGCAACCTCATGTAAAGCTTACAGTGACTGTTTCCTTTAAACTTAATAATGTAACTGTATTATTAACTCCTCTCTACCCTGTTCAGGAAGGTACTGATTCCTGACCAACTGCCCATACAGATTAAAAATTTAAATTTACTCCAACACAGTTGGCAGTACAATCTTTTATTATTAAAATTATGACATGGCTTCTGTGGCTTTCCTGGGTTAAGAAAGAAATAACATCCCTATTCAAGAACAACAGATGAGCTCAGGCTTATATTTATGGTCATGTTTAATACAGAAATCAAAAAAAACCCACCCTGCTTATTTGCCTTTATTGCAATGGGGCCTTTTTTGTGAAGCTGGAATGATGTTTCTTTGCAGTGCTACTTCATTCTGCTTATGATCACTACAGAAAGCCGTACTTCAAACCAATTACAACAGTCAGAGTTTAGGGCTCCCAATATTACACCTATACACAAAGGAAAGTCTTGTTCTCACCTTATGCTCATAAAAGGTATCAATAAGAGTAATGAAACGACGAGCTTGTGTCCTTTTTGCCATTGTAAGAAGTGGTATGTCACGAACAAAGACTGTGTCAAAATGCTTTGATATCTCCAAATAGTCACTGGCCCCAAGAGGCTGAAACAAAACAAACCACAAGAAATGGAAACCTGTGATAGGATGATACATAAACAGTGTATCTTGAAATATTACAATTACAGAAGAGAGGGTGTAAAGTCCTGATCACATTCCTATTTTTGTTTCTTCACATCTTGCTTCAGGAATGCTTGTTTGCTCTTACTGACATAAGTCTACATGGGTGCTCATTCATACTGTCAGCTTTACCTGAACAGTGGTTCAATAGTTAAAAATGTGGTTCTTCTGCATCCTGACAATGTTATGATCTCTCTGACAACCTCAAACAAAATAATCACTATAAACCATAATTCACAGAAGAAAAAACATGGTTAAGCTATAAAGTCACCTAAAGCATAAATAATTTGAACAGCTATTAGGATGCTTTCCTAATAGCTTTTAAACGCTAATAGCTTTCCTTTTGTTTTTAAATGCAAATGCATAGGCCAGTTACTAAATCACAAGTAGACCTGCATTTAGTTCATGCAAGACTAACCCTGAAAGAATCAGGAAAAATACAATTTGTAGCAGTTGCTTTTTTCATGGTTACACCTGTAATGCTGAAATAAAAATACTTAACTTACTAATTTCTATTTGTGTACCTAAACCATCAACAGAAGATACACACAAATAGTGGCAGCTCATTCAATACACGTTCAAATACATTCATTTAAAATTACCTTTCCATTACATGGAAGATAATTTTTTTCTGCAAACTCTACCCTATCAGTACTGCAGGCAGTAGCAATAGTCATCATATTTAGCAGAAAAACTCCATACTTAGTACCTTTGACATAACTACTCCATAGAGCAAGATCAGCAGCATTTTGCATGATTATGTCACAACTCCCTTCCCAACTAATGAAATGTGCTATACCAACAGTATAATATGGTTATAAAGCACTGCAATACTGCTAATATATTAAAAAACAGTAAAATACTTTCTCTCCTACTGAAATTGCAAGACAAATTTGCTGTAGGCCAAGCATAACTCCTTAACTAGAACCTTTCTGCAAGAAGTTATTTTGAGCAATGATTAATGGCTATCCATAGCCAGGACTTTGGGTTTTATTTAGATGCAAGAATGAAAAACCTGTAGAAATGGTCTATACGCAAGCACAGGAGAGTGAAGCCCTGATGACATTTCAGAAATTCTTCTGAAAATTAATGGGAATAAGCTAGAGCTTCTCACCAGCTGACGCCCCAGGCAGGTATTAAAGCCTCTAAGCCAGTTCTCCCATTTGCAGTCTCATGAATCACCCTGCTTTCCCATTCACAACCACACAACCTCCCTCTAACATCTATGAAAAAGAATCATTACAGAAACTTTCAAGTATTTTTAGCAGAGTTTAAGAGCGGTATATACTATATCCTCTCTTCCAAGTTATATATGTTGTTTATTTTCTTCCTCCATTTCAGACCCCGTGCCACTACTATGGACTTCTTAACCAGAAACCAAGAAACTAATTATCACAAAGACCAATAGCAACAGCTTTGTGCATCACCTCTGAAAAAAATCTCATCTGTACAAAGAACAGCTGAAAAAATGTTTTGATGAACTAAAGCATGGAAATGTTCGAGAAAATGAAAGGAACTCCCTGGATGATTACAGATTGAGCCCACCACATCTCTCACTATCAGATACAAGTGATAGCTAGCTGGACAACAATCGTATCAAGTGCAAAAGAAAACAAAGGAAGCACTAAAAGCAGCACAACTAGGATGCCGCTGGAGATTTTAAGATTGGTGGTAAACAAACAGTTCAGTAATTTTTATTCCATACTTAAGAATGAAGTACTACAGTTAACTACAGAAGAGATGAAGTATGCCCATATTCTGGGACAACAGCAGTGATCTAATTGCACGTGAGAAAGGAAATAAATTCTCACGTCTCTCTTCAGGTAAGAAATGGCAGACATCGCTGCTATTCAGGTTCATTCTTTTATCACATGAAGAGCCCGAGCATTCTTCTGCCAAAGCCCAAACCCTGAGGAATATTCTGTCTTGCCCCAATGGGATTTACTTTCTCACCCAAACCATATGAATATACCCTCCTCATTTCCAATACTATTCCAACACTACATCAAATATTAAAAGTTGATTCCTAAAATAAATAAATAAGGCTTCAAACTTTTGCAAAATCCACAAACTGAAGCAGCCACGCTCTGAGCTATACATCTAAAATCTTGGTAGGCACCTTAATGGATATCCAAACATGAAAATGAAAAGCCTGAGGAGTCAGAGGGGGGGAAACAAGTGGAGGACAAAAATAAGACTAATTCATTTTGAACAGGAAGAAAAGAAGATGGAATACTTCTTTTGACTTTTTTTATATAGACATAAAACCACAGTTCATAGAGGGTTACAATATGTATCTTTATCACAGCCAAACAAGAATTCAATCTAGTTCAGCAGTGTCAAAAACCATCAATTCAAAAAACTCCTCTAATTAAATACATAAAAGGCAGATCATTTCAAGCTGTTTAACAAGAATTTTTGAAACACCTACACCAGCACTAAACGATAGTATTCTGTAAATGTTGGCAGAAACGTGTCTTTGGAGACTCCAAAATCTTACGATCAGAAAGATCTGAGCCTAGCAGCCATAAGTATCTTAATAGTCTGTACCTCCCTGCCAAGACTCAACTGAAACTGAGTCAGCCAGTTTGTTATTATATATGGCTCAGCTGGCATCAGCTGTAGTTCTTTACATAGAGGAGTTCTCAAACTCTCTCCTTTTAGAGTTTAGAAAGACATAACCCCAGAGATGAAGACAAAGCTTTTAATCCTGTTCTCAGTGTGACTTACCTTGGACAAGTCCTTTAATCTTCTTCTGCCTTACTCTACTCACTGTACAAAGAAGGAATCACCAGCAAATTTGCAAATGCTCCAGGCACAGTTTAAAGCCCTTGTTGTATACCTGTAACCTTGGTATTGGCTCAATACTTGCTGCCTACAATTGCTTCAAAGCTTTTCTAACTCACCAACTACACTCAAAATGATCCAAATTCAGGAGCCAATGACGTGGGGGCACCCTGACACCTCAAGTCACATTCTCACCGGCCTTCTGCCCTTGCAAAACTGGCATGAGGCTGGTACAAGCACCCATGTACCAACTCTGTGCCATACAGGAAAGAGTCAGGGAAAATGGTTCAAGGCCAGGTTACAGCACTGCTAGAGATTCTGGCTGTACTGTCCATATACAGAAGCTCCACTGAGGAGCAGATTTCTGTTGTTTCAGCAGCCAGCAGTCCTGCCCTCACCTTTACAGTATGGTCTACTAGCCCTTTTCCCTAATTTTGCAGCTGTGTCCTGACTGCCAACAATACAGGCTTGGACTAGGTAACAAGACCAGTGGCAAATTATTTTAGATGCTTAGCACTCTCCTCTGCATAACCCTCCAGGGCTGAAATTTATTTTATGAACCTCAGCAAGTCACAGACAGTATTTCATTTTAGTCAGTAGTACACATGAAGGTATTACTTCCTCTGAAGTTGCTAATGAAGCTACAGATCCTCCTAATATTGATACATATATATGTAATCCTCTTATTAGAAGTTTAGCCTGATTAATCTGGTCCTCTGAGCAACATTCTAAAAATAACAACTTGATCTGGTGTGTGTTTCTGGTACTGTCTGATCTTTTTTGTTTCATCAATTATCAATCAAAAATCAGCTTCAGAACCATAACACATTTATCTAACAACTGTTACTTACCATTTGTTACCAGTTCTTTCACATGCTGCAATTATTTTTTGGGGAAAAAAAAAAAAACATTAAGAATCTTTCTTATGGTATTATTGTTTCTGCATGTGTATATAAGGTAAAACTGTTCTAGATTTTTGTCATTAACTCTAATGCCAAGAGTCAGTATTTTATAGGCATCATACTAATGCAAAACGCATTAGCACGAACATGAGCTACCCTCCTGACAAAGTGTTTACTCCACTTCAGCCTGCTTGACTGAGTTCTCACCTTCATTTGTTTTTGTTTCTCTGTCTACTTAATGCATTTTCAGCTATCATCATCTCAGTTCAAGTAGGATGTTTATTATTTGGAGCTCTCTGTGGACTGTTTTAAGAGTTAGTCGTCTCCTGTTTCTATTATATATTCCATTTAATTAAAGTATAAAGCATCCTTTTTCTTTGTTGACTTATCAGTGACAGAGGAGCTCATCTTTTAGCGATTGTCTGAAGAATACAGAATGCTTTATGTACGTTAGAAAAAGATATTTCATCTCAAGAGAAAATTTTTTTTTTGTTGATGCTGGAAGATATTCCAGGGTCAGTTCCAATAACATCCTGAAGAGTTGTGACTGACAATGACTACAACTTAATGCAGACAGTCCAGCTTCCTAAACTTTCTAAAACCAAAATACAGTTTAAGACTAGATAATATTTACAACTTAGACATTAAGTAATAACAAAAAATTACAAAGCTCTTTCTGTTGTTTCCAAAGGAGCTACACTCTCTCACTAGTAGGGCTGATTGAATATAGAGCACTGAGGTAACATTTCAAGTTCATAATTTAAGAAAGGAACAGAAAAACCTAAGGCATGATCAGTGATGCAGCTGCACGTTTAAATAAAAATGTAAGATAGTTAGGGCATAGCTAACTTGGTTAAAAATTTAAATACACTGATGGCAGTGAAAATCTATTGGAAAGCTCTGTAAGTTACAGGCAAAAATGAGAAGTTCATTTGAAGCATTATTAATAAACTGAGAATTTAATTAAGAAGGCAATTTCTTATCAAGTTTTACTGAAGGTTCTGGTGGCAAAAAAGCATGTCATTGTGTAATTAAAGATGACATCAGATGGCATACCAAGGAAAGATTAAAATAACATGCAGTTTTGTTTGAAGCTTCCTAACTAAGCACTATGAGTTGGCCTGCAATTTTAAAATCATTACTTTAACTTGTTTGAACACTACTTGACATGAGGCTGTACACCTTGTTAAAATAATCACCAATTGATGCATTATTCTTTCTTGTAAAATATTCTCT